TCTACTTATATTAGGGGTATTTTGTGAATAAATATATTCAAATCTGTCAGCTTAATTAGGATTATCATTGTTTTTGTGTCAGAAGAAAACTGCTCTGATTGCAGAAAATATTAAATTAATTCATTAGCTTGTAGTGTAACATGACTACAGTTTAACTACTTGAAATTATGATCACCTTGTCATAAGCTTCCCCCAACACTGGATTTTATACGTGTCTATATGATTAAGTGCATGTGTAAGTGGGTGTACGCAAGAGCTTGCCTAAAGCTCCTTCCCTGTCAATTTATTTTCAATTGCAACCTTTTCTGCCCCATTTTATAATCTTAGAGGAAAGAAATCAGACACACAATCAAGCACTGCTGCCCATGAGGACCCTCAAATCATCACAAAGAACAAAAAAGATGAAAACGTGAAAATGGAAGGCTAAAAATGCCATTTACCCTCGTCAACCATCTGTAACCTGCACATTTATGCAATTCTGCCCTGGCAACCTATAATTCAGAACTCTATTACCATTCCTAGAAGTGCACAGTATGCACAGGGACTTTGGACACCCAAGTGGACGCATGCACAAAATCATTGGTCATGATTAAATGACAGCTCTTTTGATTGGCCCTGATTTGTTTACAGCTACGGCCAATCAGAGGAGAGAAATAGTAGGACAAATATCAAACATAAGAAACAGAGGGAGAGCAACAGTGAAAAAACACTCAAATTAGGCCAAGTGCTTTCATCTGACGATTAAAGACAGTGTAAACACATCTGAAAATGAACAGCCTCTTTGAGTTCATTAGGTCCATAAAGATTTCGAAAAGTTATAAATCAAACACATCGCTAAGCTATAAACACAAAGTCTAGGCCATTCAAAAAGATACTTTGCTTTTCCTTCAAAAAACAAACCAGTGACCATAAATCTAAAAATACTCAGATAGAGCTGTCTTAATCTTACACAGAAAGGAATAGTTCACCCAAAAATTAACATTTGCTGAAAATGTACTCGCCCTCAGGCCATTCAAGATGTAGAGCAGTTTCTTTCTTCATCAGAAGAGATCAATGCTTGCTCATCAATGGATCCTCTGCAGTGAATCGGTGCCGTCAGAATGGGAGTTCAAACATCTGATAAAAACATCACAATAATCCACAAGTAATCCGCACCACTCCAGTCCATCAGTTAATGTCTTGTGAAGTGAAAAGCTGCATGTTTGTAAGAAACAAATTCATCATACAACTCTTGTTTCCGGCTAAAATACAAGTCCTCTATTCATAATATTGATATATTATAATATTGATTAATATTTTGATGTCATACGGCTCGTTCACTGAATCGCTGGCCGTCTCAGTGATCAGCCGTAAAACAGTGATTCTGTCCAAATTCCCTTACATATTATTGGTGGAGTTCCCTTTAAAATCTTAAATGATTCCCTTTGAGCTAAATTGACCTGTTTCCCTTACAACACCTACATCTTGGATGGCCTGAGGGTGAGTACATTTTCAGCAAATTTTCATTTTTGGGTGAAATATTCCTTTAAAAGGATATTTCCCCCAAAAAAGAACCTTTCTCAAAATAACCTGTGCACATTGCTACCCAAAATCAGATGTTTTTGGCAACAAGTTTGACTACCTAATATTACTCTTACTGAAAGTACCGGCACACATTCCCTCACTTAGCATTTTGAAGTGTGGCATCGGAGGGATGACTGGTCTCCTATCCGAGTGCAATAAGACTGTGTGTCTCAGTCACGGACGTATTTTCACTGGCGGAGCTTGTCTCTGAAGCCCTCAGAGAGCAGCAGTAATGAGAGGAATGGATTGTATTGATGCTAGTGACCCGCGGTCCACAGAGGAATAAAACGAAACAGTGGCGACTGACAGGCTTCATTACACATCCTGTGAGAACGCATTTAGGTGCCCTCATCCCCACCTGAGTCACCCTTCTCCTTCTATCTTCCACCTTTTCTTGCTCTGCCCGTAGAGAAAAATAAAACACAAATGAGACCTCCTTATTAATACATGAGACTAAATGGAAAGCAAAGGGAGAAATGTGCTTAAATCCCATGTTTTTCAGTTTTATTCTTATAAAAATGTCCTAATCTCACACTCTTGCCAAGATCAATATCAACTAAAACGTTTACTGCACATCAACAGTTGTCTCATTTGTGTCCATTTTTATTTATCCTAAATAATTTTACAAGCAATTTTCAGAGATGAAGTTATTAATCTAATGAAACTTAAATCAGAACCCAATTAAGTCCCCCATGAATGAGACAAGTCTGAGCAATGAAGTTTTTTCTTCTTCTAAGGCTGTTCTAAAATTATTTTTATATTATACTATATTATATTTTAATAATAATTATTCTCAGTTCCATCATCACAGAATTTGGGATGCTCTACACTGGCAGCAATCTGAATAACACTTACCACGCAAAGAAGCACACTTCAAAAATCCCTAACTGAGAACTCCATTAGGTCTCCTGAGCTATGAAAGAGCAACCTCTGAGTAATACAATTTTCCTGTGGGTACACTCTTAAATTACTCCTTTTCATCAGGTCTTTTACATCCTTGGTGTAATTCACTGAACACTGTATTAAGTGCCGCCTACAATCAGAGAGAAGAGACAGATATTGGCGCGTCTCCACGGGGTTTAATGACGGAAGGATCATGCCGCGGCCCAATTTCCTCCCCTGATTAGACAATCAGATCCTGATGACATCAACATGCACAGATGGTGCTTCTTCAGCCGTTTATTTATTAACGAGTGCTTGTGTATTTTTATCAGATGGGGCCTGATGCTAGTGCCCCCAATAGAGAAAAATTACTAGACTTTGATGTTTTCGGCTGGATTTTGTTTGATGCTGTTGATGACCCCTTTCCTTAAAACAGTGCGCCTCAACTGGCTTTGCTTCAGGACCCAGATTTTACTTTGGACATCAAGTGACGACTCAACACTGTGTCCTAATCAGGCATGATGCAATAAAGCATCATAAAGCCTGTAAATCTGTGTTTTTATTCTAATCAGCCATAACTATAACAATCTAAGAGCAATACTATGAGAAAAAAGAGAATACGCACATTGAGAAATTTCACTGGTCTAAAAATAAACTCATTATTCATACATATACTGTATATATATATATATATATATATATATATATATATATATAATTAAATAATAAAAATAAAAATAATAAAACAATATTAAAATCATTTAAATAAAATTAAGAATAATTAAGAAAAAGGCCAATAATCAAGCTCTTAAAGCAAAAAATATTCCTCTGAACCACAACAGCTCATGTTTTCCCCAGTTAAGAACCATTGCCTTAAATAACCACCATGGCCTTCTGAAAACCATCATCCAATTCTGGGAAAAGTGCTTTCACTACAGCAATCCTAAACTTCTTTAGTGGCTTGAAAGGAGCACACTACCTCCCAAAATGGTCATTTATAAGGATGTAGCGTCTTTCCAGTGGAGTGTCTGGAAGCCGGAGTGCTTTGGTGTCAGATGTAGTGTGTAGGGAGTAAATGGGGTTAAATAAGCTGGCGTGGAGAGACACAGTTGTGTAGCTCACTCTATTGTCTTTAAGGGTGCTGTGAGACAGAGGTTGTTGAGCACTGCAGGAGACGGCTGAGTGAGAGTGACAGCGAACTTGATTGCCATTTGTCTCACTGTGAACTACTGCCTCGCTTCCAAGAGAGAAGGGCTGAGAGAGAAAGAGATAGACTTCGAGACAGACGGGAAGCTAGAGTGCCTTCTCCATATAACAAAAGTCCGACAGAGAGAAGAATGAGGGGAAAAAATTGAGAGGCTGAGATATGACTGGAGAAAATGGATCTTGGGAGCTGCTGAAAGATAGCATCTGAAAAAGAAGCTGATCACCCAAAAATGAAAATTTACTTATTATTTTCTCACCTTTATATTGTTCCAAACCTGTATAATGTTTATTTTTCCATGTAATACTTAAAGAAGAAATGTTGAAGCGTATTTTTTCATACAAAATCAACTGACAATATCTGTCGATCTATAAAAGGAGAAACACATACCATAAAACTACTTTAAACTTAAGAACAACTTAAATTTTGGTCTGTTCCTCACACATGGCTTTAGAAGACTTGGAACATAGGCAAAAATCTTCATAAAGTGCAACAGTGTCTGCCCAATTTTTCAGCAGCCTTAGATTCCAGTCATTTTTCCCAAAGGGATTTTCTTTGTTAAAAGAAAAGTCTTTGTTAAAGAGCTATACTCCATGAACCAATCTAAGCAGCTACGAGATTAATCACATTACAAACTTTGATTTAAAGCAAAAAAGAATGATAATTGGGCAAAAAGACAAAGGTAGAAGACTGTGTAACTTTAACGAGGGAAAGAACTACAATCCCATGAAGCTTTGCAAATTATCTAACTGAATTAAAAATCACATATAAATATAAAATGGTTGATTTAAAGATGTTGATTGTGTTTAGTGAAACTATATATTTGGTGTTTATTGCAAAATATACAAGTATTATTCTCTGACTAGTGGAAATTTCTTTGCAGAATCATGGGTAATATAGTTTTTCCACCAGGAATTCCATCATTAAACACAATTATTTAAGTTGAAATAATGCAGACTGATGGCTTCAACACAAGCAGTATATATTTGATTAACAACCTCGTAGTTCACAGCAGGTCTGTCTTTAAAGGTTTATGTGTGGGTGTATTATTGACATGTCAAAGTCTAGACCCTGAATATAAGACGACCGCGTTTTTTCAGATGTATTTCCAAGAAAAAAATATCGTCTTATATTCGGGACAATACGGTACTACCCTACAGTGCACTTTAATGGTGTTTTATGTCCGTCTGGACACATGCTCCATGGAAGAAATAACAGCACACAAGTCTGGAATGACAATAATGACAGAATTTTCATTTTTGAGTGAACTATTCCTTTAAAAATTCCTCAACAGAAGAGAAAGAGAGAAAGACAACACGAAAGAGTGAGGCATTGAGGTGTAATTCCATACCTGTGGGAACGGCCGCGTCCATGGAGGGTCTCTCCCAGGTGTTGACTTGCTCCCAGGCGAAGCCATTAGTCCCCAACGCCACGCTGTAGCCGCAATTACTGTAGTGCTCTTCAAACGAACAGCTGCCTACAGAACACACACGAGAGAGAAGAGGGGAAGATGGCATATGTCAACATGATTAAGCCACGGAGTGCCATCATTACTTCATCTTCGCTAAAAACACGATTTTCCACCGCATTAAGCTTTATGCTAGCCGGGAGCTAAGGATTAGAAAGCCAGGATGAAATAGCACTAATTAAATGTACTCGTTTTTACACAACTTCTTGTATCGTAGCTTTGAGAGGGGGTTTATTTAAGCAGCAAGGTGCAAGAGGCTGTGCTATACTGTGAATATAGACATGACTAAACGGCCATTGCTATTTATGACGTGTAGTGGAGTGACAATACAGCACAGCCTTGACTTACGGTTTTTATGAAATTGTTACCACATAATAAAATAAATCAAGATCAAAGATTTTTATTAAAATACTATATATTATAAAGATAATTAATAAAATATATAGTCTCTGAACATTTAAATTATATATTTTATATTTTATTAATAAATATTTATACATCATGGTATTATTTTTTTAGTCAACTTAATTTTGAAAGGTGCAGTATTTTCTGATTGAAATTACCAATGAAAATATTCATTGGTAATTTCATAAAATAATTTTATGAAGCGACGAGAATACTTTTTGTGCGCAGAAACAAAACAAAAATAACAACTTTATTCAACAACCTCTTCTCTTCTGTGTCATTCTCATGCGTTTTTAACGTCCAGCGCTTCCAGGTTCTACGTCAGAATACCGGCTCATTATTGGAAGGCTCCTGCATCAGCATCACACGCATGCGTCGTGCTGCTCACATGTGCAGCTTTGGCCAATAATAAGCCGGCGTTCGGACGTAGAACACGGAAGCCTTCACTGTGCTTACTGCGTTAACCGTGTAAGGATAATGACAGGGAAGAGGAGAAATTGCTGAATAAAGTTATTATTTTTGTTTTGTTTTTGCACACAAAAAGTATTCTCGTCGCTTCATGAAATTATTGTAGAACCACTGTAGTCACGTCGACTGTTTTAACGACATCTTTAGTACCTTTATGGATCTTGAAAGTTTGGGTGGCGTTGCTGTCAATGGAGGCCTCTCTGAGCCATCGGATTCGATCAAAAATATCTTAATTTGTGTTCTGAAGATGAACGAAGGTCTTAGGGGTGTGGAACGACATGAGGGTGAGTAATTAATGACAGAATTTTCATTTTTGGGTGAACTAACCCTTTAAAAGCTTTTCTTCATACAAAAATAATTATAATTTCGGATTTGTTTTTGGGGCAAAATGTGATCTGAAAATTTTTTTGTTCAGTTTTTGTGCCTCTACAATAGCTGATGAACAGGTTTTCAAATAAAATTCCTATACTATTACTGGAATACTGTATTGACCAATTAGCATATTGCATAGAACTATGCATTTTACAAATATTTTTTATATTTCTTGTTTCCTTTCAGACTATTTTCGTTGCTGAATCTTTACAGGGTGGGCTGAAGGTGTCAGACAGCCTTATTCGATTGGACGTTACTTTCTGTACCACCCAACATGGAAATCGCTTTGGTCTGTGTGCATGTTAAGCGCTCAGATTCAACATGATGAAACTTCTGCCTGCAGGATACTTACATTTACATTTCTGCATATTTCAAGGACCAAATATTCACTGCCGTCTTAATTTGCCCCTGCGTATTAAGCTACACAAGAGGATTAAAATGCTACAAAAATAATTATTTTGCCATGAGTGCCAAAAGGCGATGAATCCTACAATACCAGCAAGACTCGCAAACCACATCAAAGGTATTCTCAAAGAAATCGCACAACCACTAAAAAACAATAATAGTAAAATATTCAGAATTTTCCAGCGATCCGATAGCCTCGTGATTTGTTGAAGGAAAAAATTAACCAGTCAAAGACGTGATTTTGTGAAACACGTCTGCCCGCTGGGGTTCAGTTAGACAGCAGCAGAA